CTGCCTTTGGGTTACCCCAAGCAGTGTTGGGTGTGGGTTCCAGCTCATGAAGTAGGCCTTAAGTCAAGTCAGACCTTGGCTGGCTACTCCCACAGGCTTTGTGTCAGCATTTTTCGCAGGCAGGACAGATTGTAGGTCAAAGGTTTTGTGTCTGGGTTGGTGCTTGTGTTTCTCTTTCTGCTGCCCGCAGAGTACCTTCCCGCACCGAAGACACTAGAATGTAGGGGTGAGGCTGTTTGTAAGCACCGGCCTGACCTTCACGTTCAGTGAGTTCTATGGGTGTTGTCTTCAGCAGGTGGGCCTTGCTTTCAGCTAATGCAGAGCACCCTGTTCTCTTGGCCACAGCCTGCATTGTTTGAGGATTTATGCATCCATGTGACTTTTACTTCCCCATAGACTTGGTACAGTTTTATTTCTGTTCCATGGATTGAAAGTTAGAGCCTGGGCAAATCCTTTGTTTTAGAGTACAGGAATGTTGAACATTTTATTGACTCGGTTTTAAAGTCCCATTAGACAGGTACTTAAGCAGTGTTCCTCTGTATTATGAGTACCCAGTATTCAAATCCCTCCATTAGCTCTTGAGATCTAAGAAAAGAGTTGTGTATGCCAGAAAGCTCCTTTAAGTGGAGGAACAAAATCAGTTCTCTCTACTCAACTGCAATGTGTTTCTAAACTCCTCCTATTTAGTGTTTTGGTTTAGTCAGTATAGGTAATTGCACATCTGTCCCTGAGCTTTCCATATAAAATTAAGGTGACTAGCTTTGGAACCCTGACAAATCTCAAAGTGAATCTGAGCCCTGATGTTTACCGTGAGTATGCTGGGGACCTTACTTACCTCTTTCTCACTTACTCATCCGTAAGATCAAATCCTTAGAAACAGCTCCTTCAGAGAGCTACGTGGGCCATTGAGAACACTGTGACAGAGCCAGTGTAATGACTCAGAAAGCAAAAGCTCAAAATTTTAATCCCTGGAACCCAGACAAGGAGAGAATGTCTCTACAAAGTTGACCTCTAACCTCCACACGTGCACATTGACAGAAGCATGCTCATCTCATGCATCTCTCTCTCTCTCTCTCTCTCACACACACACACACACTCACATACCACCATCACCCTCACCAATAATAAAAAATAATAATCTATCATATATATGCTTTGAATACTAAGATAGCACACACCCTGCTCCTGGCACACGGGAGGCATTACATAAAGCAGGTTCAGGCTACACTTTTGGACCACCATCTCCTGAAAGCTGTTGGAGAAGTTAGCCTCAGGTTCTGCCAAAGCACATTTCTTAATGTCTCATTGGCCACACTAGTTACCTACTGGTTCAGCTTCAAGAAGAAGAGCAATGAGTTCCTGATGGGCAGCAGCCAAATGGAATGGCCATTTCTTTACTGTTTACCCCAATTACTGAACAGTAAGTACACCCCTGTGATTATAAGGGCCCAACAGTCTCTATAGTGATAGGAAAGCTATGCTCAAGCAAACACTTCATTTCTGAAGCGGCTTAAACTGGATTTCCTATGCACATGCATAGCTGAAATTGACGGATGCTGGGAGAGTTGAAATGCCAGGTCTGAAATTAACACAATGAACCAGACCAGATTTTGAAGTCTTCCGGCACAAGTGATAGATCTTTGTAAAGTAACAGACTTATTAGATCACCGTCTTCTTAGAGTTGAGACAATTTGGTGCCATTATTCTATTTTCAGTGTGATCTGATGGTCATTAGTTTTACAATGAGCTTGTTCTCCTTGCTTATCTAAGAATAGTTCATTTACAAAACAGAGAGTGTCCCACTCATTGAAGCCATTGACTCTGAGGCTGGGGAGACAGTTCAGTCAGTGAAGTATTTATGTTGCAACCATGCGGACCTGAGTTCAGTCCCCAGAACCCATGTGGTAGCATGTGCATATAATCTCTGCTCTGGAAGGCAGAGGTAGGTGGATCCTTTGGGTTTGCTGAATATGCAGCTTAGCCTTTTTGCCACACTCCAGGCCAGTGAGATACCACGTATCAAAAATAAAAGGTGGATGGCGTCTGTGGGATGACACCTACCTACGGTTGTCCTCTGGCCTTCCCTGCACATGCATACAATTATGCACTGACACAAACAAAACACAACGGCAGCAACAAATAACCCAGTTGCATCTAGTTTTAGCCTCATTGTCTCTCCTCATCTTTAAGAGCTGTTTATGGCTCCTTGCTCTCACTGGGACGTACTGTGAGGCTCAAGTGCTGGTGGAAGTGTGGGATGGGCTCCCATTGTCACCTGTAGGCCGGAAGGCTTGATAAGTGCCAGGCTGGTTTACGAGGCCATAGAAGGTTGGGTTGGAACCACACAGCCATGACCCAGAGGCCTATAATTGTGTTGGAAAACAATGCAATTTAAACTTAAAACTCAAGTGACTAACCCTTCTGCTGGGTGAGCCTTGCTGTCTATTGATTTGATTGGCATTGTTGGGGAGACTAGCCACCATGTTTGACTTCATATGCCTTATTTGGTTAGCACAAAAACTCAACTTGTCATGTCTGCATTTCATTGTTGTTGTGAAAACCCAGGTTCCAAAACAGTAAGTTACTCTTCTGAGATCTTGCAGTTTAAAAAGTGTGGGCTCCAAACTTAATATGTACCCTAACTGCTCATATCAGTGCTCTGAACACAAACTCAATCTTTATCCTGTTTTCTTTTTTTTTTAATTTTATTTTTTTCTTATCAGTTACATTTTATTAACTCTGTATCCCAGCTGTGTCCCGATCCCTCATTCCCTCCCAGTCCCTCCCTCCCTCCCTCATCTCCACCGTGCCCCTTGCCAAGTCCACTGATAGGGGGGACCTCCTCCCCATTCATCTGATCCTGTTTTATCAGGTATCTTCAGGACTGGCTACAAAGCTCTCCTCTGTGGCCTAACAGGACCGCTCCTCCCTTGGGGGGGTGGGGAGGCCAAAGAGCCAGTCATTGAGTTCCTGTTAGAAATAGTCCTTGTTCCCCTCACAATGGGAAACCAATTGGTTACTGAGCTACCACAGGCTACATCTGAGCAGAGGTTCTAGGTTACATTCATACATGGTCCTTGGTTGCATGTCAGTCTCAGAGAAGACCCTGTGCCCAGATATATTTGGTCCTTGTGGAGCTCCTATCCTTTCCTCATCAGACTAACTCCCCTTCTTTCTTATGATTCCCTGTACTCTGCCAAAGGTTTGGTCATGAGTCTTTGCTTTGAAAACACTGCTAGTTAGTCTTTCAAATGCGCTCAGTAGACTCCTGTCAATGTTCAATGCGCATTCCATCTGTCTTTCTAAATGAGGATTGATCATCTTACCCCATGTCCGCTCTCTTGATTATCTTTTTTAGGTGTATAGATTTCATTATGTTTTGACCATAATTGGCTCAGTTTACCTTCACAAAGTGGTGCAGACCTCATTCTGGCCTCCATTCTATTTATTCAAGATTTAGCCGTGTACTGAATGCCATTGTTGTGCAACTCTTCTTAATGACATGGTAAGCCATTTTCAGGCATGTCTGTCACCCGTGTTCCTGTTGAGGACCCAGGAGGCAGGCAGCAAATACTTGTAGTACCTGCCTGACTTTCAAGTGCAGCTAGAAAGTGATCTATATCTCTCATCACCTGTATAATGCCCCTTTTAATGGAAGCAGCCACCAGTACCCTCAGGATGGTTCTTCCTCTTCCTAATAAAAGTGTCTCCATGTAATGACACTCACATCCTAGGCAGAGAACCAAAGGAACGGGTGTCTGAAGCAGAAGAGCGTTAAATCTCTGGAACAGACACTCATTTATCAGTACAATTACATCGCAGTTTCACACACACACACACATACAGACCTCATATGTGTGAAGAATCATACTGGGAGATAGCAGGACTTAAAGGTAGGGACTGGACATTGCCTGAGAGAATCAAGGAAGACATCCATTCTTGGGGAGTATAAATAAATAAATTCTCATTGGTATTTCATGTAAAAGTTATGTCAAGGGAAAAAGACAGCACACATGGGAGGTTCTAGAAGGAGCCTGTAATGTCACACACATAGGCTGTGCAGATAGAAAGGTAAAGGTGCAGAGACATGGCATGGTTTCTTGAGCCATGATAGCATAACATCTTGCACTTGAAGATAGTCCTTGCATACCACTCTTATCTCAGTCACTTTCTGGAGCAGAAAACATTGTTTTGTAGTTCAACTGAAGTGTACCCACGTAAGGTCAGACAGCCCGACTGATGTGCACACATAAGGTCAGACAGTCCAGCTGGAGTGCACACACATAAGGTCAAGTCTGACTGATGTGCACACGTAAGGTCAGACAGTCCCTGGAGAGCACACATAAGGTCAGCCTGTGGTGAGCACACAGCTGCCCTCCAGGATCAAGTCCGTAGACTCTGACTGGAGACTGAATGAAACTTGCGTGTCAGGAAACTTCCTCTGCGGCGTCTTTTTATGTCCGCAAGGTGTCCCCCCTTTCCTTTCATGTTGAGCTTCCTGAAGGTGCTGAGGACTCCTGCTTTGTGAACCTCTTCAGATCTAGAGAACTTGCCTCGCACCCTCTCCTGTCTGACTTTCATTGGCTTCAGTCAAGGCACTTCAGTAAAGGGCACTTCAAAGAAACTGAGCCTAACAAAATGTAAATCTGAGACCATGTGTTTTCCCCAGTCTCTTTCCTCAGCTTTCCCCAGGTGGGTGTTATCACTGATGAGCAGCAGAGGAAAATGCTTCCCTGATAGCCTGTAGGTAAAGAGATGGACTTTCTTGTGGCCCTCCAGGCAATGAGATGCTTTTGTCAAAAAAAAAAAAAAAAGACCCCTTTGTGCTACCAATGTGTTAGGTCGTATACATTTTCATTTTAACCAAACAGCATAATGATCCTCTTTAATCAACTCAAGAAGAGACCAATAATTCCTCGTTGCTGTAGATAGTACTGAAGAACTGAATTCTCCCAGTAACTGTGAATTTCCATGCTCACTATTTGCTTGTTCTAATACAGGATGAAGAGGAAGAAATCAAACAGGAAATTAACATGTTGAAGAAATATTCTCATCACAGGAACATTGCTACATACTACGGTGCTTTCATCAAAAAGAACCCTCCAGGCATGGATGACCAACTCTGGGTATGTAGCACTAGCATTTGCCACATACATATTTATGCATCTCCCCCTCACCTGGGCAAGACCTGATGGAGGGACTTTAACTTCGAAACACTTAGGCCAGTGACTTTCACAATGTTGTATTTTCAGGGTTTTCTTCCATCCTCTTGAACATGTATTTTGCATTATCTTAAATCTTTCTTCTTTTTTATTCCTTTGGTGGACACGTGTTCCTGGATGCAGAGATGTGTGTGCAGATATGTTGAGGTCAGGCGGCAGCATCAAGTACCTTCCCCTGGTAGTGTCCCACCTTATTATTTGTCTTTTTAGACAAGGTGTCTCACTATAACTGAATCCCATTCGGTTAGCTATACTGGCTGGCCTGTCTGCTCACTAACCCACAGCTGGGGTTACAAACAAAAGCATTACATACCCAATTTTTATTTTATAATACTGGGATCTGGGCCTGGATCCTCACAGTGATGTAACAAGCACTCTACCTACTGAGCCATTTTCCCAGTACCCTTTCTCATCCACATTAGTATGGACCGTTGCCCAAAGCTGCTTGCTAATTCCTACTTCCTCCTCAGTGACTGACAATCTTTTATTGCGTCTTATTATATTTTATGCACCATACCATTTACTATCAATGAGTTACATGATTTACTCCCATTCATTGGTGCAGGCATCGTTGGTTTCATCACTTACATGATGAAACTAAGACTTTCAGGGATGATAATCAATTGTCCCAGGGTTTTTGTGGTGGAAGCAAAGTAAGTTCTACCTTAACTTTGAGTGATTGTGTATTGCAGTGTTCAGATGTCTGAAATAGCAGTTCCACGTCTGTGGGTAACTTAACCTAACACGGCATCCGATGCCATTGTAGGACCTCAGCAAAGGTGCTTTGCTCTTCCTGAGCACCCTGCCCAGTAGCTTTGTACCCCTGTCCCTTGAGAGAGCGCTCTGATTGCCCGTGCCACCAATGGCAATTTGACAGCCACCGCCTCACTGTCTCTGTGCTCAGTGGAGAGTGTCATTTCTCACATTTCTCATCGTTGTAATTTCCAATACCGAATCTTTTCATTTCATTAGTCTTTCCGTGGGTACAGTGCCATCTTGGTTCGATGACATTAAAAGGCCTCTCTTGCCAATGTTATGAATCAGCCTCAAGTGTAGCCATTCAGTGGAAGGCGGATCACTTGATCTACTTCTCTTTATCTCTTCAGTCTTCGCTCCTCTCACATGATGCTGTTGGACTGATGACTGTGAGAATTAATGCCTTGCTTATCTCCCAGGCCCTAGTTATGTGTCTAACATACAGCACTCCCTGCATGGGTGACTACTGAATGCCAAGGATTGTGATATGCTGTGTGGCTTCGGTGATGAGCATTGCATGGGCATTTCTCTAGGCTCAGTCTTGGATAAAAGCTACTCCACTGATGCGTATGACATTTGAAACTTAAGTAAGATTGGAAAAAAAAACAAACAAACATACAGTGTACTCAAGTGCTGACCAAAGAAGATGTGATGATGTCAGCTCAAACACTAGCAGGATTTCATTTCAAGTGATACTGAATATTCAGCCTTCAGAGGTGAAATGATCTTCTAGGAAAATTTCCCTGTAGGATGCATTTCCAAATTTAACATAAAGCTATCCTATGGAACAAGTAAACTGTATTGGCAGTGATTTGGTCTATCTTGTGGTTTCTGGAAAAAGTTCTATTCAATTTTTATTTATATATTTATTTATTACAATTTATTCACTTTGTATTCCCACTGTCCCTTGTCTCCATTGTCTCTTCCCAGTCCCACCCACCCTCCATCTTCTCCCCCTATGCTTTTTCCCTAGTCCCCTAATAGAGGAGGACCTCCTCCCCTTCTGTCTGACTCTAGCTTATCAGGTCTCATCAAGGCTGGTTGTATCATCTTCCTCTGTGGCCTAGCAAGGCTGCAGCCTCCAACAGGAGTTGATCAAAGAGCCAGCCACTGTGTTCATGTCAGAGACAGCCCCTGTACCCCTTACTTGGAAACTGAGCAGGCAATGGGCTTCCTTTGAACAGGGGGTCTAGGTCCTCTCCATGCATGGTCCTTGGTTGGAGTATAGGTCTCCGTAGATCCCCCTGGGCCCAGGTATTTTGGCTCTGTTGTTCTTGTGGAGTTCCTGTCCCCTCCAGGTCTTTCTATCTTCGTCTTCTTCCCTAAAGATTCCTGCCCTCTGCCCAAAGTTTGGCTATGAGTCTCAGTATCTCCTTCGATACCCTGATGGGTAGAGTTTTTCAGAGTCCACTGAGGAAGGCCATCGTCCTGTTCCTTGTCTTCTCCTACTTCTGATGTCTATCCTGTTTGCCTTTCTGAATGAAGATGCCTATAATCCCAGCACTCAGGTAGGCAAAGGCAAACAGACCTCTGGAAATTACAGACCAGCCTGGTCTACAAAAATGAGTCCAGGACAGTCAAGGCTACACAGAGAAACCTTATCTTGAAAAACAAACAAAATATTATTACAAAAAGTAAAAGAGATGTAAGTCACTAATTTAGGAAAAATAGTTGTTTTAACTATTATGAGCAGAGAATAATAGCCTTCATCTAGAAAGGGTTTGTATAAATCAATTGGGGAAAAGTAGGAAGGTCAAGGTAGCAGCTACAACCTTTAGAATCAGTTACCAATAAAGTGTATTTTTAAAATGTTACTCTTGCTAATAAAAAACCTTAGAAACACCAACAAGAGTTCAGTACAACTTCCTAACTACATGATGAGAAAATAATTTTCAGTGCTTGCCCACTTGTATTATACCTAATTCCCATGGAAATGCATGTTGCTGCAACTTAACCCAAGGACAGTTAGAATACACTCACACACACAAACACACACACACACACACACACACACACACACACACACAATATGGGAAGAGAGATACATGTATACATGTGTATGTGTATATATGTGCATATACATACTCATGCATAAATATTACAAAGTGCCTTAGTTTTGAACCAGTATTTCTGTAAGATATTAATTAAAAAGTAAATATTTATATAACTATATAAATAAATTAACAAATAAGAAATATCCATACAGTTAACTAAACTAAACATAGATTCATTCTTACAAATGAACATTAGCTATCACAGTAAGATTCTAAAAGTCTTTCTTAATTGTTATAATTAAATATACTATTTTTTTTCACTTTATAAGATGTATAATTTATACATCCATTAACAGGGTTGAGATTCCTGAACTAGACATACACTAATGATGAGGAGAACATTGACTTTTGAGTATTACTTCAGTCTTTTAATTATTTTATTTTGTTTTATTTTTATTTCAGGGACAGGTCTCTGTACATAGCTCCAGCTGCCCTGAACCTCACTAGGTAGATCAGGATGGTGCTGCACTCAGAGACCCGCCTACCTCTACTTGTGAGTGCTGGGATTTAAGGCATGCACCACCATGCTCAGCTATTTTAGTTTCCTTTTGAAGTGTATTATTAAAAACTAAATAAAAACAAAATTACACACCCAAATTAACCAGACCCTAACAACTCCATGACTCAGTGAACTGCCATACAGTCAGAGTAGCCATTGGAGATGGAAGTTACAGGTCTTCACATTGGATTTTATGCCCTCTGTTGAATATATTTCATACACATATCCCACCACCAAAATAAAAAAAAATCCATGATAACAGTTAGCTAGAAAAACAATTAGCTATATACCCCGTTTCATAACTCATGCCTGTCACCTGCATTTAGTCCTTCCCATAATATTTAGTTCTTTATTATTGTTCTTTATTCTGTTTTCTACATAGTATGCTGTACCCATAGTGCATTTGTTCACGTATGTACATTTATTATTGGCTAGGATCCATATATGAGGAACAAACAGCATGTCATATTTTTCTTTCGAAGATTGGATAATCCCATTTAGTATTATACATTCTAAGTCCACCCATATTTTGAACCATTTTTGTCTTCCATGCTTGCTTCCCCTCGTGTTCCTCTCCCACTTAACTTATGTCCCTTTTCTTCTATCCTCTTTCACCGTCTCTCGTGGAGCTGTCCTAACTTCTCACGGTGACAGACAGGGCAGGGACTGTGTCTTTTGTGTCTTTGTTTTCTCTTCAGCTTTTGGATGATCCTGGGCAATATAAACTGAAAAAAAAAAAAGGCATTTATTTGTGAGTGGGAACAGTATCGCTGGTACAAGCCTGGTTGCCTGGGTGATCTCTGAGTGTGGCTTCCTGAGGGCCTGAAAGCTCAGTAAAATATAAAATAGGTAGCACACACTTGAATGCTGTTGTGTCCCAAAGAATTTCTGCGCTGTCTGGAATCCAGCATTTTTGTGTCATCCTGCATTGCCATGAGCTACAACAGATGGATGTAGAGGATAATGCTTGTTTAATTCCAGGTCATTGTCAGACTCTGGGGGTACCCCGTATGCCCTTGCAGTCTTTGCCACCCCAGAAAGAACCACTATCCCTCTTACATCGCCCGTGCTTGTGCAGGATGGGCGAGAGCTCTGTTCTGACTCCATCTGCCGGTTCTCTGGAGGTTTAACTGGCACACTTTGATAGTATTGATGAGGATGTGGAGGAACGGGAATGCTTGCACACTGCTGGTGGGTTGTCAATCAGGGCAGCCAATGTGGAAAAACCTATGGAGGTTTTCCAATAGTTCAGTCTGTGTGTATCTGAAAGAAATCAGTATGTTTAAGAGGCATCGACACACCCATGTTTCTTCACTTAAGTAATATTCCCAATACAGGAGGAAGGGTGAGAATTTATATAGTCTGTGGTCAGGGCTTATAGTGCCAACTAACCATGAACAGGAATGTAGCTTTGAGCTTCACACCTGAGGCCATGCAGTTGTTTCTATTTCTTTTGTGAGAGCAGGTGGATCAGGCTGTGGATTTTCTTGAATTTGGGCAATTTTTTTTTTACAGATTGTCCATTGAAGAAAGTAGTGGTAATCTAGCAGACTTAACTCACTTTCAATTTTTTCCTAAGCCAAAATTTTATGTAT